TCGCCACCACAGTAGGTTCTTGAATGGCCTCCTCGTTGAGTGGCTATAGCTTCATAGCAGCCACGAATGTCAGTTCACCTTTTCGCACCCCTTTCTTTAATTGTAATGCCGAAATGTGTTGGGGCTCCTTAGTTCCTCTCCGAGAGATGGGAACCACGCAGGATTGGGGTGCCGCAATTCTATACAAACCATCATAGAGAATTCCAAAACCAATTTTTATTGAATCATAAAATATATTGAGTTTGCCACTACCAAAAGAAAGACAATATCCTAACTCATCAATTCTAGAAAGAGAAACCAAATTTCTAGAAATTGTAGAGACATAACAGGAACAAGATCCATCAAGTGACCCGTCTCTAAGCGTAGACGATAAGTTCCCATTGATATCACTTTCGCTTTAAGATGATTTCCCATAATGATTAATCTTTCATGTTCTTTTGGTTTCCGAATTGAAAGAAATCCCTGCATGTTATTTGTAACATGAGTTGAAGCACCAGAATCAATCCACCAAGTGTTAGAAGGAACTTCTGTAATGTTTGATTCGAAATATACAAATGTCGAGTTAATACCTTTCTTTTCGAACCAAGTCTTGCGTTTAATGCAATCCTTCTTCACGTGTCCTTTCTTGCCACAAAAGAAGCATTTTACAATAAATACTTTTTTTTCATTAGTCCGTTTAACATTTTCAGACCCGACAAATTTCTTTGATTGATAATGCTTCAACTTTCTTTTCTTATTACCAGCTCTTTGAGTAGTGGTCATGACATTATGTGAACTTTCTTGCCTTAATCTCAATTCTTCCTGAACACACATGCTAGTCAACTCATTCAAGTCCCACTTATCCTTATTTGTATTGTAGTGAATCTTGAATGGGCCAAACTGAGAAGGAAGAGAATTGAGAATAAATTGCACGAGAAAAGATTCATCAACATTCATGCCTAATGTTTTAAGTTTTGCAGCTTTGTCAGCCATATTGAGGATATGATCCTAAATTTCTCGAGTACCATCATACTGAGCCATAGTCAGTTCTTTCATCAATGTGCCAGCCAATGACTTATCAACAGATTTAAATCTGTCTTCAATAACCTTTAAATATTCCTTTGCGCTAGTTGCAATCGGTAATGAAGTCTTTATGTTATTTGCAATTGTCATTCTTATGAACATTAAACTAAGTCTATCAGATCTTTCCCAAGCCTTCATTTCATTTACTTGTTCTACAGAACTTTCATCAGTCAAGTCTGCAGGCTTTTCAACAAGTAATACTAAATCAAGATCTAATACCCCCAGTGTGAATTGCACATGCTCTAATCATTCTGAATAATTTGATCCAGAAAGTACAAGGACACTAGAAGCATATGAATGTATATGTGGAAATACCACTGCAAAAAAAAATATAACAACATTAATGCTTTGAGTTTGTCAAAAAATTGATGAACTATTGATATCATCTATATTACACCTTTGGGTGAAATATTGACATATCTAGTTTTCACTCAAGAATATTTATGGAGGACTAATACCATCCTTGAGGAATAGGTATTGTTACCTTTGAGTATACAACCCTAAACTACAAGGATATCTAAAACAGTATCATCCTACCCCATCACATAATTATTTGAATTAGATTCTCTTTTGGGATTATCTAAATCTCCTAATTATATGTGTCATTATGAATATTATTTCCTTAATATCATTTAGGACTAATTCCTTAATATTATTTTATAAGTCATTAGTCTAGGTCACTTTGGTGGCTACAAGACTAATGCAATAATATAAAATAAAAATGTCCTATAAAATGATAAAACTTTTATTTTAATTCATATCACAAAAGTTTATCATCCCAGGCCACTTTGGCAGCTACTAGTCAGATAAATCTTAGAGAAATAAATTACAAATAATATTCATCAATATTTCTTTAATTTTGCTAAGCATTTCAATAATAAAACAACATAGAAAAATAATAAAATTTCAGATTTTGCTTCTTTCAAGCACTCTTTCATGTGAATCGTTTGCTTGTAACATTTGTATAAGTTATCCTCTTTTTTTTGTCCGTGAAACCAATTAATGGTGAGTTTCATTTTCCATGATTATACCTGAAAGTCAATATACAAAGGCATTATTCATTTACCATCTTCGCTTGTGTTATAGGGACATAAACAAAGCTCCAAAACTGGACCTCCATAATCCAGAAAATCTACCTAAGTTTCAATCCATATTTACAGTGGATTGGCATAAGTATTGGATCGAATATGCACTTCTCTGATTCAAGATAGAGAAAAGTATTTCAAATCCCCAATAACAGATGACTACCAATCCAAGAGTCAATCACTTTGTACCATGAGGTTATAAGAAGATTGACTCGCTATATACCACCTATGCTCTTCAAATTGGCCAAGCCCACATGAAATAAGGCCCAAATACAAACGAAGCTGAGGTATTGCTTACAGCAACTACATACAGAGTTTACATTCATAAGACAGATCCAAAGCAGAATGACATATCCTTAGTGGTGAGAAAATGCGAATCTTGGATACAGAAATTAGTCATATATAAGCAGAAAACATGTAATGCATATATAGAGCCGATACAAATTACCCCCACCAGTCAAAGATGGTATACAAACATGTATTCGATCTGCAATTGCAGTACAACAAACAAATATCAAAGAACTGACAACAATTAGAACAGAATGGAACATATTATGACCAACCGGAACAAGTTATCAGACGGATCCTGGGAAAGCAGATAGAAATCCAAAGAAAAAATGACGCGAAATCAAAAGGATCCGACGAAGAAGAATACTTACCGTGTGTCGTCACCATCCGCCATCGCCGATCCCGTCGCCGCCCGCGGAGGACTCGACCAGGTTGGGGCTCGAAACTGGGCTTGATATTGGTCCGTCGACGCATCTTTTGCGGGCTAAGAACATTCTGGAAACCATCTCGAGAATTTGGGATGTGTACACGAATGATCTTAGTTTAACCTAATAGTTGTTACCTATCACCTATTAAGTGAAACACATACAAAGAATGCAAATAATTTCTTATTTAATGATTTGAGGCATTGATGTAAGGACATTAACAGAAAATTCAATACGGCATCAGAGTAGAATGTCGTATATTCAGATCCTATCCAAAAATTCAGTTACAAATCTACCCTTTTGTTGCACCGATTTTACTTTATTTTATTTTTCCGAATGGAAAACTAAGCTTCAAATTAGGTTATTGGAACGGAATATATCCCAAAAAAAATACAGAATAGAATATTAATATATTTTTTTAAATTTCTAAAGTATTCTATGACTTTATCTAAAATTATAAAATTATCAAAATGATTTAATTAGAAAACTTAAGATGAAATTTTATTTATATGTTTTTAAATTTTTTTTAATAATTTTATTTATTCATTTATTCATTACATATTTGAGTCCTACGAAATTTTTTATAAGATTACATGTATTCGGTTTTTTATTTTATTTATTTATTACTTATTAATTTAAATAAAAAATATATATGTATAGAATGAACTTTTTAAATATAATTTTATCAAACAATATTTACCTCAATATATATTTAAAATATAATTTTTATCTATTATTTATCAAACATAAAATATTTCTTAACTATATATTCACTCAAATCCTTATTTTGTTAATTGCATATTTACTCAAATCTTTTTCTCCAGCTGTATATTAAAAAATATAAATATGATTTCAAAAGTATTATTAATCTCACAACCATATAAAGTATTTCTCAAATATCATGAAGAAGGCATAGATTTACTATAAATCAACACAGTTTCAGAGCAATCAAAGCTACAAAGCCTTCTTTGAGTACATCCCATTGAGTGTAGGATTCTGCAAGCAAACGACCTGAAGCATGATGCATGTCGTTACCCTCTAAAATGATAGAGCCTTGTGAATCGGCAATACAGAATTAGATTGGATTCATTTCAATTCAATTGGATATGTTTCATTTCAAATCCATGATCAGCATTAATGTGAGAATGAGTCTTTTAATAGCATATTGGGACCCAGATAAGTATTTTTGGATATTTTATTTAGGACAGTAAAAAAATGGCATCATTAAGTTTTATGTGAATCATGGGTGATGTATACTAATTTGGATAAGATATTGATGGAAATAAAGACTAGTGATCGGGTGACAAGACCGGACATCCGAACCGCAATCTGTTACCCATTCAAAACCTTCGGTTTGCGTGAAAGCAATCGTTGTGACGCTTGAGCTTGGTTCGCTTCCCGGTTCACACGACGTGGCAGGGCGCTTAACAGCGATCGCATCGCCATTTTGCTTGCACGTCACCGAGTTCTCCGACTCCGTAACAAACGTCCCCCAAAATGGTACCCGATCAACGACCACGTCTCTCACTCTTTTCCTTAATTTGCTGGTTGGATCCACATCGAGCAACCGCATGTCATGTACACGCTGGCCTTAGTGCCGTGTTTGGTATATTTGACGAGTCCGTCAGTTTTAAGTCTTGCGTTGTGATTGGTTCCGCGACTTGTGCGTTCCCGCACGGAAAACGCAACACCGCGTTGGGTCGACGCCAATAACGTCTGGGCTTTAGGTCCGACGAACAAGGAATCTGAACCATCAAATCTGAAATGATAAGTACGTGGCACCATCGAGCGGACTTGTGATGCGCTTGCGGTCGCAGATTTTGCGGGAAAATCGAACCACCCCGGAACGCGATCCTTGTGACCCTACACTGAGGTCGCCTGGATCCCCTCCAATCATACTTCTAAATAGTATCTGTCAATTCACACATCTGCAGGTTTCAACCACCAACTTTAAATTTGAGACGGTCCGATCAGAACTCCACGCGTATCGACAATAGAGAGGATCCCGTACCCGAGGAAGAAAGCCGTCTCATCGAACGGCTTTGTCGCTTCCAGGGAAGGATCGGACGGTGTAAAACGAGAAATCCGTCGCCTTTCGACTCTATATATTCGTGAGACCAGTGGGTTGTTACGTGCTTCGTTGCATTGCAAGGTTGTCGAGCTCCTGTCTCCGAGAGCCGCTCCCTTCTCCCCACATTGCCTTCGCTCCGCTCACCCTTCTTCGATCTCAATCCCGCCGCATTGGTGAGTATATCCTTGTTAGATCTGAGCTTCTTTTTTAATGTTTCGTGGAACATTTTCGATTTAGTTTCCGCGGTTTAATCTCATTCGTCCTGTTTCCTGTTTATTGTCCGATCATGTCCTAGATTGAGGAACCTTGGGTGATCATGGAGACTGGGCGTGGATGTCTCGCAATTCCTCTCCTTCTTTCGATCCTCTTGCTTCCTTTGGGATTCCCGACCACTGGTGCCGCCGATGCTTTGATTCGGATAGGTCTGAGGAAGAAACCGTTGGGTGAGAATGGCCGGATCGCAGCCCGGCTTTTGGATAAGGAGGGGAAGGATTTGATGGCCCGGAGGCACGGATTGAGAGGTGGTGTTGGGAGTAATGAGGAAGATGAAGATATTGTTTCCCTCAAGAACTATTTGAACGCTCAGTACTTTGGGGAGATTGGCATCGGTTCCCCTGCGCAGAAGTTCACCGTGATTTTTGATACGGGTAGCTCGAATCTGTGGATTCCTTCTTCTAAGTGCATCCTCTCGGTGAGCTTTGTCTCTCTTTGGTTGGAAAATCGAATATCTTGCAGTTCTTCAAATCACCAATACGTAGTGCGTCAATGCAGGTCGCTTGCTATTTCCATTCGAAGTACAAGTCAACCGCATCCAGCACATACCAGAAGAATGGTCTGTCTTTGGCATAAAATGAACGACTTTATTTTGTCATTGTTCTCTTGTAGTTGCCTTCCCCTTTTCCTTATTTACACGCATGTTGCCAGGAATTTATTTCAATAGCATTTATATTCTATAACATTGTTAAAACTTTAATTTATATGGTTCAGAGATGGAAAAGATGTGGAAGTAGGCTTCTACAAATGATGAATTATGAACAGGGTTTTGATCGGTCATTATAGAAGCAATCCATTTATGTTATACTTCTCATATGAATGATTGTAAAGGACACATATATCTAAAAGAATAACAGTATCAACTTGGCTCAGGGGCCAACCAAGTGGAAGTCATCTTTACCATTTGACCGGGCTTTCTTCTTTTAAGTTCTTTTCCCTTTTGAATAAGTGTCCAATGGCTCTGGCGCCTGTGATACTTTCCTCGTTGTACCTAAGTTCATCTGAGATCAATAATAAGACTTGAGTTAGCTTCATAATTTCTTCCCATCAGTTACCTTTGTGTCGGGGTTCACCTCCTCAAATATATCATGGACAAGTGCATCTTTTTTATTTATTCATTTATTTATTGGGCCCTTTCTTTTGTGTGTTCTCAGATGAGATAATATTCTTTCATAGTATTGTATTATAGGGTTCCGATATAGTTGAATTAGTATAGATGATTTTCCATCATATTGGTATCTATTGGTATTACCTCTAACTTATTCTGAGTGTAGTTGCCTGACTCCATCTTCTCTTATAACATCATCGATTCATCTATTCATACTCATATTCACTGCACTATCTACGTAGGTACTTCACTTATTCCAAGTTTTTTATCCTCTAAAGCCTGTCATCATCTTAACATGTTCTTTTCTATTAGAGATGTGTAGAAAAACAGACACCAAATGTATCTCTGCAATTTACACGTCCTTCTTTTAGTCTATGAATGTTATTTTCGTTACTGTTTTAGAGTAACCTTAGCATGTTCTAGGAACTGGCTTGGCTTTCCCCTAGCGTCTTACATAGGCAATGCTCTCGATCATATTTATGTATTGGAAAAAATTCATTTTGTTTTCAAAGCATGCTCCACTGTATCTCTTAGCTTCGAGTTAATAATTAAATGTATGTCTCTTCCTTCTTTTCAAATATTTGTTACTTAATTCGCCAAGTAAATATCTTTCCTTTTCTTTATAGAGATTTTCAAAACTCATATTATACTTTAATTTTTATGACCAATCTGTAACCTTGGTGCCTTGAGGGCTTCTTCTGACAAACTTGCTCTTAGCTATAAAATCTTTGACTAGCTATGCTATTTAGCATTTTCTTACAGGTGACTAAATGTTACTATTCTTATTTCTTAGAACTATTAATGTTGATAAGATCATTAGAGATGAAAATTTCAAACTCTTCATCTATTTTCTTTTCTTGCCAATATTTCCTTCTATACCGCTTCTCTTCCTTTTTAACATGGTCTTTTGTGTCTTCCTCAAGTTCTTCAAATCTGGCATTAGGTATTATTTGAATTAATATATGTTCTTTTCTGTATCAACATTTGCTTATTAAATCAGGTTATTTTTTTACCTCGTCAAAGTTTATTGTTCTTGTAAAAGAGTTACTTATTAAAGGCATCTATGTTCGTACCTGATTGTCCTTTGCTGCATTTGAATATCTTTGTAGGCAAGTGTACCTTGATATGTTCTAGTTACTGTTTTGCTATGGCTAAGTAGAGATTCTAATTGCATGTGGCTTTGTCTTGAGCAGGAAAGTCTGCAGAAATCCACTATGGATCTGGATCAATTTCTGGTTTCTTTAGTGAAGATCATGTCACCATCGGTAACCTAATTGTTAAAAATCAGGTTTCAAACTTTTTTATTATTTTACATGTTATTCTTTCACTGGTCCTTAAGATGTCAATTTTCTAATTCTATGGTCTCCTAAACTATAATTCATTCAGGATTTTATTGAAGCCACTAGTGAACCAAGTGTCACATTCCTGGTTGCCAAGTTTGATGGGATTCTAGGACTTGGATTTCAGGAAATATCAGTTGGGGATGCTGTACCTGTGTGGTATTTTAATATGACTTCCTTTCTCCTCGGATGCAAAACTATTACATGATAGTTGATCGTTAAAATTTACTAGACCTGTTTTGAACATGTAACCATTTACATTGCTGTTGTTTGTTTGACAAAGTTCAAAGAATGTTATTCTAATATTTAGTTATCTACAAACAGAAAATTTATTAATATGCTTGTTAGTGTCTTGAAGAATCTTCAAATCCAATTAAAATTAGAAATGCAGAAACATAAGAATGACAAATGTAGCCATGACAAAGAATAGAGATGCAAATTATTTTTTTTATTTACACTATTTGTATTGGACAACTATCATTCTACATATCCTGCACTTTATTTTTTATGCTTCTTCACTGAAACTTGGTTTGTCATAAACAAGTATAATTATGAGAAAGCAGACCTATATCCTTTACTTGAGAAATTACCTTGTTAGGGTGATTTATACGGCTTAGAGATCATTCCTTGTCCACAATGGTTCTATAATTTCCTTGTTAAAAACTTGTGACAAGCATATATTTGCTTGTTTAAATACTAGTTGTGTATATTACTTTTATTTAAGGTCCTTATGTATGGTTTTTAACACAAATAATGTTTAAGTAACATGAAGGGAAATTTTGGAAGGGCCCAAAATTACCTTGTTAGGGTGATTCATACTTGGATAGAGCTTAGAGATCATTCCTTGTCCAAATGGTTCTATAATTTCCTTGTTAAAAACTTGTAACAAGTATAGATTTGCTTGTTTAAATGCTAGTTGTGTATATTACTTTTATTTAAGGTCATTATGTATACCTTCTTGGTTTTTAACACAAATAATGTTTAAGTAATGTGAAGGAAAATTTTGGAAGGACCCATTGAACTTTTATAATAGGTGCTCACCAGATATGCAACTCAAATTTTTGTTAGGAATTATCTCTTTTTATTCTGAGTTCTTTCCATCGGGGAGAGAAGTGTAGCTTTAGGTCCAGGTCAGAACAACCCTAGATTTATCAGGCCATTTTCACCTAATTTACTGGAATAATAAAATAATAATAATGATCAACCTAAGGATTGAAATATCATATCCTACCGGAGTTTCGACGTTCGTTCGGTATGGTACGATACTATATACCGAGCAGTATACCGTTCGGTATACCGCTCAGTATATATTTATATATATAAATATTCTTATAAAAGGTGATATTGCCTTATATATATACATGTATATACGTATATATACATGTATATACGTATATATACATGTATATACGTATATATACATGTATACATATATATATATACATGTATATATGTATATATACATGTATATATGTATATATACATGTATATATGTATATATACATGTATATATACATGTATATATATATACATATATACATGTATATATACATATATATATACATATATACATATATACATATATACATATATGTATATATATATATATATACATATATATATATATACATATATATATATACATATATATATATATATTTACATATATATATATATATATTCTGTTCGATCCGGTAATGGGCGATTCGTGTACCGGTCAACTGACGGACCAGTACATACCGTCCGTACCGAACGATATTATACAAAATTGCATGCCTTGGATCAACCATGCCTCTGGGTCCACAAGCTCACTTATTTGTAGTTATTAGAAAAGGAAACTAATCCCATCACCTCCCAAAATCCTACTAAATGAGATCTTTGGAACTATCAAAATTAAAAGATTTAATAGAAAATAATTTCCCTGATTTATGATTTTATTATTTCGAGATTTATAAACACCAACTATACCAAAAATTGTAATCTAGATATAAAAAAAGTGATGGAAATGCAGAGTAATACTAGTAAATTTCCTATCACTGCAGTGAATAAAATTTCATTGTGGATACAGCACTTGAACATGTGGCAAATTGCATAGTTGATTTACAAAGCGACTTCGTAATTGGTTAATTTATTGTTAAGATTTTGAAATGCAGAACCCATTCATCATTCTCAACAACTGTAAAATGAAAATTTTCAGCTAATGTTTTCCAAGGAATATGTGCAGTTATTAGTCTAGCTTTCTTTATAGTGATCTTGAAAGACTCCATAAGCTTATTTTTTATAAATGTTCTAGTGAAATTTCCTGGTGCTTAGATGTTTTTGTAGATGAAGCATTATCGTTTTAAAGTGTCCTTTATGGCATCAATTATAAAGTTGATGTTTTGTGTTGTGTTCATTGCATCTTGCATCATTCTATCAGGTGATTAGGTGGTTCTCGTATGCTTTAGATATTTTGGAAATTATCTTATTTGAAAATTTTCATTTACACGTGACTAGAAGTGTTTAGTTTGATTAACTCAGCTAACCTTTGTAATGGTAGGTATAATATGGTCAACCAAGGACTTATCAAAGATCCTGTTTTTTCATTCTGGTTTAACCGAAATGCTGAGGAAGGGGAGGGAGGTGAAATTGTTTTTGGAGGAGCTGATCCAAACCACTATAAGGGTGAACATGTATATGTCCCTGTTTCTCAGAAAGGTTACTGGCAGGTGGGTGTTCTTAGCATGTGTACTCAATTAATTGAATACTGAGTTGTGCAGATTGGCTACTGAATTTACTTGTTTTCACAACTGCTGTTACATGTTTCCCTAAATTTGTCTTGGCAGTTCAACATGGGAGATTTGTTTATTGGTGATGAAGCTACTGGTATTGCTTAGTGGTTTATATTATCATAACTGGATGTTCTTACATCTACTAATACTATATTTTGTGTTTATCAGGCTTATGTTCTGGTGGGTGTGCGGTAATTGCAGATTCTGGAACTTCTTTGATTGCCGGGCCAACGGTTTGTATATACTTGATCATCCTTTGATGCCATCAATGTTTCTGTTATTTGTCTCAGAAAAAAATAATTTATCTATGTCTTAGAAAGCTGGACATGGATGTGAATATCATATGAATGTACAATAAAATGAAATAAATGTTAATAATTCTTTATTAGAAAAGAAAATTTTGTAGTAAATGTGAAAACGAAAGCATCAAATAATATTGTAGATAGAAAAATCAATCAAAGAATTTTTTTTAATTAGATTAATGCAGCTTAATTTAACACTATATGGTTGGAAGTTTGGGACTCGAACCATGTGTGTACCATTATCCAGAAGATTTTGGATAGCGGGATTTAAATACATATAAAGATATGTGATAGATACATATTTATGTAAACATATCCAGCTTGACTTAGATATGAAAACATATTTAGATGGATATTACTCAATCCACTTTCAATGTCACTGTAGCTTCATACTTTGTGGAGAACAATTTACCTGCATCTTCAGTTCCATGTCAAGGTTACTGATTGGACATCATTAGTCTAGTGTAGTAGTATCTAGGAGATCACGTGCATGGTCTAATTGTTGAGTCATATACTCATAGATTCCCTTTGGAGACTATTTTCTCACAAGGCTACTTATCAACTTATCAAATACCTTAGATCTACATGTCTGCCAATGATTTTTAGTCTTGATAGGTTGAGTAGATGGATGAGGTTATCGATTGTGCTCATGGTACTCTTTCATGCTGACTTTGTCAGAAAAAGAAAGCAATTTGCTTGAAATGGTGTTGCAGTTAAACACCTTCCTCATAATTTTATTTTCTGTCTACATACCTCATCTTAAAATAAAGAGTATTCTTCAGTTACGGAGCTCTTTCGCCTATAGTTTTGTAAAATGCCAATCTTCTCACTCTTTCTTGATGTTAAGTTGTCTATCCTAAGTATTACAATTTTGTGCGATATCAAGCTCCTTGTTCTTGCTTGATGTGAAGTTGTCTCTCCTAATCACTATTCACTATGCTCTTTCCAAAATTCAAACTGTCTGGTAATCTGTTAATTGATAGCTTTGGGTATTTCATCTGAAAAATGTGTAGATCTATATATTGGTTTGTCGGTCAATGTATTCGATGAAGATCTAAGTGCCAAATAGTTCACATCATGGTCTGCAGTACCGAACTATAATGCCCGGTACGGACGGTACGTACCGGTCCGACAGATTGTCGGTACGCGGACCGTCTGTTACCGGTCCGAGTGCACTGTAGCAAAGCTACAGTACTAACATCTGAATATACCGCTCGGTATACCGTACCGTATCGGTACCGAGCCTAGGTCGAAACACCGGTACAGTACGGTATTACGAACCATGATTCACATAGTAGAACACGTTTTTACTGCATCTGAATTTATTTATGTGGATTTCTGAAATCATTACAGTAGTTAATTATTGTGTGCAATAGCTTTAAGTCAATTTTTTTAAAAAAATACAAGTGTATATTTTGTTTTTTTTAATAAAATGGTATACAAATGTATATTTTATTTTTTAAAATAAAATAATATACTAGTATATATTGGAAGAAATTTTTATTACATTAAATGGTATATTTGGACTCGAACCGAGACGTATCACTTATGTAATAATGCATTAATCAATTGGATGCCTTAAGACAACTTTTAAGTCAGTTATTGCAGCAATGACTATTAAAATTGAAGTTACAACCATTGATTTTTTATCAACATAACACCAGACTTTGTCAATGAAAGATCACCTTCATATCTTTGCAGGCTGCTATTGCAGAAATTAATAACAGAATCGGAGTTTCTGGTGTTGTTTCTCAAGAATGCAAAGCAGTAGTTGCTCAATATGGGCAACGAATTTTTGAAATGTTGATATCACAGGTCTGAAACAATGTATTAATGCATAGATAATTTAGACATTCATTTTGGCTACCTTAATCAAGTTAATTTATGCATCAGAAAAGGCATGCTAATCCTGGTTTATTTGTCAGACACAACCTACCAAAATGTGCTCTCAGATTGGTCTATGTGCTTCTGATGGAACTGGTGCCGTTAGGTGAGCAATCGAATTGTTCCTAGTTATTTTTGTATTCTCTTAGAAATTCAATAATTTATCTGTATGCTGACTATTGTTATTCACATACATCATGCACTTGAATCTATATTATATATCCAGCATTGCCATTGAGAGCGTAGTCAGTGAAAACAAGGATGTTTCATCTAGTCTGCACAATGATGCTATGTGCAATGCTTGTGAAATGGCACTTGTGTGGATGCAGAATCAGCTAAGCCAGAACCAGACACAGGAGGAAATGTTGAATCACATCAACGAGGTTAGATTATTTTCAAGTTTCAAGTATAACGCCATTTTCGCTTCTGCAGTAGTTTGTTTATTTAACTTTTTCATCTAATGCATCCAGCTATGCGAACGGCTGCCAAGCCCCATGGGAGAATCATCTGTAGACTGTGCTGCCATACCTTCCATGCCTAGTGTCTCTTTCACCATTGGTGATAGGATATTCGAGCTTCAACCAGAGCAGGTATGATCCTGTTCTACATTTCGCACAAGGCTCCTGACAGTTCTTTGTTTCTTGAATATATGATTAAATTCCAAACAAGTGGACCAAATGTTTTGCACAACCCATGTGCAGAACGAATGAGGTCACTAGTTTATTCTTGACTAACGCAGATAAATGTGTAGCCGTGGATCTATTTCTCCACCTACGTTCCTTTTGTTGATGTTGTTCATCGTTAATACTCGTGATCATCTTGCTCCTCTGATTGGTGCCCGCAGTACATTCTCAAGGTTGGTGAGGGAGCTGAAGAACAGTGCATCAGTGGGTTCACAGCTTTGGATGTTCCACCACCACGAGGCCCTCTCTGGTGTGTATTTTCCAGTCTTCCTGCCTGCATTCTTAAGTCATCGTTTTGTGTCTCTCTGCATATGTGATGTGTAGCAATGTAATGTGCAACATATTGTGTGACATCTGAAATTGCTGCAGGATATTGGGAGATGTATTCATGGGAGTCTATCATACTGTGTTTGACTATGGCAACTCGAGAGTTGGCTTCGCACAAGCAGCTTAGACAAGTATGCGATGACTTGATCATATCCTGAAATACTTGTTTTAAGTGTTTTATTATTAACGCAAAGACAGTATATGTGTACACAAAATTGTGTTTGCTATGTTCACTCTCCTTGAATTACTAAAATGCGTTTGGTAATCGACTTGTGGTTTTCATATTGTGTTGTTTTCTAATTACTTGACCATCCACTTGTTGGTTACATGATTCAGGCCAATGTAGGCTTTAATTGGGTTTTATTTGCAGACTTTTTTTTTTTTGTCTATTTGGTTCGTGAATGTGTTAAGAGCCTCGTTTTAGAGACGAAGATCCAAAGGAAATGTGGATTTGCTTTCGGTTCATAAATCAGTTCAAATTTGATATATTCAGATCAATTTGGAGTTTTGCATGAAGTTAAATCACACGAGTATAAGGGGACCGTAATTGGCAGTTTGATTTTTGCTGAATAGCTTTTCATTGTGTTAGGTAGACTCTTTTAGGTATACTATATCTGGATGTAGAATTCCAGTTTAAATCTTCTAGATAAAGAAAGATATGGATTTGTTTATAAGGGAGTGTACTTACTACTTTTGACTTAAGTTTACTAGTCCTGTGTATGGTCAGATATGATGAAAGATTCGATAAGTATTTTGGAAGTATGCACAAGAAAAGAAAATTAATGGATCAGTTGTCATTAAACCATGTTATAATTATCAAAAGAATTCAGAATGGTAGAAGGAGAGCCAACCTATGCAACCGATACAGTAGTAAATCATTTTATATTATGATGTCTCAAAGATTTGCAGAACCTGTCATAAAAGCTTTGCACACATCAACATATCCTCATCCTCTAAGGAGGAGCTTCTGAGAGGACTATGAGAAATGTCATAGGGTTGTATGGTACCTTTATTTACACAGTTCTCAACAAGAAAGTGGATGCTGATACTATGGCTACTTTTTGTGGGGGCCTGGCAGCTTAAATATACTGAATGCATTTATCACAACTAATAATTACTTTGAGTTAGGTGCTTCATTACATCTGAAAAAGCAGAGCATCTTATCTTGACCAAATTCTTTGCCTGTGAATCTGTCATTTCTTCATCTAAAAATATTCGAGTTAAAAAGACTTTTAAAAGAGGAGGACACAAATGAAGATGCTACCAGCTGATGAGAATAGTATCTGGTGATTTGTCTATGGTGGAGGAAATGAGATAGGTGATAAGGATTCTTACTGTTACCTGGAATCTGTATTGCAGTACAGATTCTTAAGAACTTGGGTCAGTCCTGTTCTCTCAGCATCTCAGCAGAGAAGCGATTCTTAGCTGGTGCCAAATTCTTGAGGATCTTAACATTCAACATCTCTTAGACGAATATTTCTTTTGGCCACAGTTCTGCTAAGATTCTGATTTCTGATGGAGCAAAGTTCTGTTTGTCACCAAATGGCAGTAGTGATAACAGTGCATCCACAAGCTTGGCCACTGCATTCCAAGGTCAGAGGAAAAGAAGCACCAGTTTCAACTTTAGAATGTTGATAGAGAGCCCCATTTCTTTAATTCAAATCCAGAAAAAAGTATTCTTCCCGTATGAACAATAGACTATTTAATATGCTACATAATGCAAATGTGATTGTGTGTGTGTGTGTGTGTGTGTGTGAATGGAGAGGAATGGAACAAACAATTCTTTCAGATCTGTTGTATGCTATATCAAGTACTTGAGCTGATGATACATGAATAAGAAAATGTTTCAAATTGTTATGTAAGCTGATATCACAGTGATTAGAAGCTGGTTTTGTCAATGAAAAATATGCTTACCTAGGGAATATTTGATAATACCATGATCACAAAAAGCAGAATTAGTTTCATTTTGATCACTGCAAAATATCATTCCAGATATATCTGGGAATCTGAAGTAGTTCCTACGCTCCTGTGCTTTTAACCTTTCAAACTGAGGAATAGATACTCTTTTGGATCTTAAGCCATGCCAAGCAAAGGGAAGGAACATCATCAACTTGCCCAACTCCGACTCCAGATCATCCACATCAACTTGATGGAAAGAGGAGCCTGAGGTTGTGGCAATATATCCGATGATTTTTTTTTTTTATTCCAGAAAAGCTTTCCATGGATTATCTCAGACTCGTATGCTTGCTGCATGATCAATTTAATATCATTCTGTCACCGGTGCATCTCCTTGTCTATGTAAACCATTTTTGGAGAGACAACAAACTAACTTGGACATTTTGTGATCTCAACAGTAATGTGTTATCCCTTCACAAGCAAACAACAATCTAAAGCTTGTGGCAGCTAGCCACATCTTAGCTAATGCATCAATTTTTCTGATATTATTATATGATTCTTTTTATGTAGTCGATATAATTCCTTGAAATTTTTTCTCTAAAGCTTTGATGTCTTTCTCTGCTTGGACTTCTCTCCAAAGCCGGATTTTGGCAAGAATTAAGATGATTCCATGCAAAGCAGTGAAAGGAAATCTTATTCTGAACATCCTTTTTAGGAGGGACATTTTGATCTGTCACTCAACCACACAATCCTCATCTGATTCTTTCCTACTCACTACAACGGTTCCAGTGATCACATCTCTCTCTCTCTCTCTTTCTCTCTCTAAGAGTATTATTCGCCAACTGGAACCGCCACCACAGAACCCCTCCACTCTTGCTCCCTTCTCCCTTATATAAGTAGCACCTGGTGTAGCTGGTCTCTCCATATCAGCTTACACTTAGTTGTAGCAGTGAGCTGAGCTCTGAGAGAGAGAGAGAGTACAATTACCTCCTTCCTGTCACCCTTTGAAGCATTTTATCAAACACCTAGCCCCTCTCTCCCTCATCTCTGTTCGGTGCCCTTCACAGAGCATGGCATCCGGTTCGGTGACCACCTGCTGGACCGCGAAGCAGAACAAGATGTTCGAGAAGGCGCTGGCGGTGTACGACCAAGACACGCCGGACCGCTGGCACCACGTCGCCCGCGCCGTCGGAGGGAAGACCGTGGACGAAGTGAAGCGCCACTACGAGCTGCTCGTCGCAGACGTCCGCCGGATCGAGAAGGGCCATATGCCTTACGCCACCTACCTCTCATCTGGGATCAGGGGTACTCCCTCTCTCTCTCTCTCTCTCTCTCTCTGTCTGCAGGAGTTGGTGGCGCATCATGTTCTTAGGCTACTTGTCTTCGTCTGTCACGAAACTTGGGATGTCGCTTTTGGTCGTTCAAATGACCAACAGACCCAAGCAAGGTCTAAATCATACGACCGGACACCAATCCGGCTGTGTTGGATCAGTGATTTATCGATTGGATCAATGGGTCACGTGATCAGATTTTAGATTTTATATAACAAAAAAATTAAGAAAGAAAGAACTATTATTATTTACACATTATATATAAAGAGATAGAATTTTATTTTAAGGTTAAAAAATATATTGAAGATAAATTATTTGGCTAAAGAAATTGGATGGTGAAAGAAAAATAGAAAAGAACAAATAAAATTATTTGGATAGTGAAGAAAGAAGTAGATAGATAGTAGAAAATATGCGCCTTATAAAATTATTTATTTTTTCTTTTTTCAAAAATATATTTTCGATCTGATTTTAATAATAACTGTAGCATAAAAAAGCAAACATATATTCCAACTAAGACTCAAGTCTTCTATGATGAGATAGATAGATGCCTTTGCCTTTGCCTTTGAGGTCACTTCACCACTCCTAAGCCAAAAGATGTGCACGAATGACTAAAGCTAATATGGATTGACATAACTTTATATGGATTGTTCAGTCTTCTGATTTCTCTCTCTCTCACGCACACACACTCTATCTCTCTCTCTTTCTGCAGGTTGAAATGGTTGAAACATGAAGGAAAGAATTGACTCTCTTCTCTGCACATCCACTTGGAAGAAACAGATACTGCAAATACTGTAAAAGGATCAGGAAGTCTTTGATCTTTAGTAGCCTACTCTTCTTTCTTATATCCTAAACTGTATATATATATTTAGTAATGTTCGTAACAAATTTCTATATAATTTCCGAAAAACAAAAAATCATAATCAGTGTGTTTCGATATAGTTTGAAGAGAAATTTTAATTCAATCACTCAGCTTCCAGCTGGCCATAGATTTGTGTCTTCTTCTCCTCCTCCTCTGAATGTGTGAAGAGCACTCGAGAGACGATCATGTCTCGGTCGGTCATTTTACTGCAGCCCTTCATTTGTAGCTGAAGTAGTACTCACATGAGAGGCAGGAAAATGGCAGCAGTGTTTGTTGATCCCTCCCTCCCCTTTAAAGCAACCATCTTACAAAACTTGCTTTTTTGCTTCTGTAATCCCCATTCCCGATGCCATCATCATCAGAATCCGAAAACCAGAACAAGAAAAGAAGATTGTCCCCAAAAACCGTGAAACTTCCGTTTGGGTTCCATCTCCGATGCAACACACTAACAAGGAGTACAGATAAACAATGAGATAAGTTAGTGTTAGATGTTCTTCTTCTTCTTCTTCTTTAAATAATAATAATAATAATAATATTATTATTATTATTATTATGATACGGTAGAGGTAGTCTTCCATGGATTATTATTTGACTTGGCTTCTTTTGTGTGGTCAATGTTGAAAACAAGGGAAAAAGTCATAAATACAGGAACATATGACTTTGGAAGAATGGAGATATCTTTACCATTAGACTCAGAAAATGTGTTTTATTCTAACTTCTACTGCTAATCTAAACGGTCATACGTGATAGATACTTCTTCACTACAGATCTCAAGAAGAATTAGCGCATAAGTGAGAAAAGGAAAGCAGCTCAAACTTTGGTTTGAACTATGATAGAAAATTAGTCGGATTTTGGTAAAATAACTAACGAATTTATTTTTCAAAAATAAAAGAAAATTTTTGGAAAATATAATCCAAAAGAACCAAAAGTATATCTCAAGATATAATCGAAATTTCTCCCTCTCATGCAAATGAAATTCAGGAGAACACAAAGACTTCTTAATAATATTAAGAGAAGAAAGCTCCGAGATAGTATTCCTCTTCTCTGCCTGCTAGCGTGATGATTTTCACTTTAAACAAGCAAACAAATCTTTTAAAAAAAATTTTGATTGATTTTTAATTTGAGCATAAGAAAAGATCGTACAAGAGAGAATAATCAAATAAACCCAGCATCATAATTTATATAAACTTAGAGTT